GATGACGGCGTCGTGTGGTCTGATAACTGTGAACGTTTTCTTGCGGGTTTCTGTCATCCCCCCCCCTCCCCTTCGGGTGTCTCCCCACCGCACTCCCTCCCCCGCCCGCTGCCCACGTCATTCGAGCGGCCCGCTCCCACTATAAAAGGGCCGCCCGCAGACTCAGCAGCCAGTTCAGTTCACTCGCGGTTTGCTTCTGTCTGAGACAAAGACGGGGACTAGCTTTTGGAGCTTCAACCTTTTTCTATTCGCTTCATCAAGCCTACCTTCGCAAGCCTTTCACGGCAGGGATTTCCCCCGCGTTTGCCTTTTTGAAAGTCGGTGCAGGAGCGATGATGTTCAACGTGTTCAAGCCGGAGTGCGACTCGCCCTCCCGGTGCAGCACCGCGTCGCCGGCCGCTGACAGCAACAGCAACGTCGGCTACTACCAACCGTCTCCAGCCGGATCCTACTCCAGCATGGGCTCGCCGCAATCTCAGGTACGCTTTGGCTTCCCCTCCCCACCAAAAAAATCAAACTGCTTTCGATAGAGAACCAGAGCCTGTGTGCGCCCACCCGGTTCATTCATTCGACATTTGTTAAAAATGTATGTATGTATGCTGCGTTCTTCTTAACATGACTTGGTGTCTCCGTGATGGCGCGTGGAAGAATCACAGCGTGCCAAAGTACCTTTCAGCCCCGTTAAACTTTGAACATTAGCTTTGCAGAACGCTACAACGCAACTTTTTTTTTATTGAACATTTGTGCACAATCGTCCTCACGGGGGGTCGCGGGCGTGCAGGAGCCTATCGCAGCCGTTTTCGGGCACGAGGCGGGGGACACCCTCAACTGGTCGTGTGTCTTTGAAATCCAGTCACTGCATTGTTAATGTCCAAAGTGCATCAGGTTACTGTGGTTTGCAACAAGATTTCAGACCTGCCCTGCTTTTGACAAATACTGCACTCCTGTATTTCAAGATCAGTAATCGCGGTGGTACGTGGAGAGCGAAGAATTGATTTCAGTGATTTTGGTGTAAAACGTTTGCCATGAGCTGCGCCATACAGAAATACAATCTTTAAAAAAAAAAAAATAAAAACATTTTTTCCCCCCAATAAATACAACATTGACCATCATTCATCCTCTTGGAATTGTACTGATTGCCCCCCCCCCCTCCTCTCCATGTG